ATTTAAAAGACCCACAATGCTCTTTTTCTCTCTCTTTATTATTGTTTAAAAAATAGAGAAAAGTAGGATTCTCTAAATCACAAGTTATTTTTAGTCAGAGTTACTCAATTTTCTAACCAAATTAATGATTACGTACTCGTAAAATAATCACCAGTACTACTACTTAGACTTTTTTCAAACTCTACACACTTGACAGGTGCAGTTAAAAGGTTAAATCAATTTAAAGGCCGAATTATGTCATTTTCGGAATGACATAATTCACTTTGTTATTGACATTTACAAATAATAACATTATTATTTAATAATGTAGGTACTTAAAATAAAACCTTACGGACTTTTTACTTCATTATCATGGTAAGTTAGGACAATAGTTATTTTTAACTGCGTTACGTGATTTTGACCTTTATATTGATTGATCGTTACATACGCTGTGAATTTCTGTTACTATTTCACGCACAAATTACTAGACGGATATTGATGGAACTCTTCCAATTTAGATGGAAATTTTGCTTCAGTCAGCAATTAGAAATCTTATTCAACTTCATTAGTAGCAATTTTTTTTTCTTTTTTATAATTCTTGTCTATAATAATTATACCTACTTAGGTATTTGACCTTCACTGGTTGGGTTTTTATTGGAGGTCAAACTGTAGTCTATCCAGGCTACACAGGAGTTGCAGCGGTGGGAACGAGAGGTGGGAATAGTCCCGTTACTTGGTTACCAATTTTTCTGAAATTACCAACAAATTGAGAGTTTACCGGTTGTAATTTTAGAAAACTTATCAATTAAAACAACTTTCACCCGAGATATTTTGATACGGCTGACTTGCGCTCAGACAATCGGTACAGATTTGGAAATATGAGTAAAATTTCTTCAATAATGTAAAAAATAAACTAAAGTTATTCATAAGTTACTAAATAGTGTAACTCTGTACACTCAACAGCAGATTAGACTTATACATTTATGTTAAAACTAGCGGCCGCCCGCGACTTCGTACGCGTGGATCCCGTTTTACCCCCTTCATCTATCTTACGCGGTTTAGAATTTTTCATACAAAAGGATTTTCCCGCTAATTCCCGTTCCCGTGGGAATTCCTAAGTATACTATAACCTGACCAGGAGTATGAAGAATAATTGTACCAAGTTTCGTTAAAATCCGTCGAGTAGTTTTTGTTTCTATGAGGAACATACAGATAGACAGACAAAAATTTTACTGATTGCATTTTTGGCATCAGTATCGATCACTAATCACCCCTGATAGTTATTTTGAAAATATATTTCATGTACAGAATTGACCTCTCTACAGATTTATTATAAGTATAGACAATCATTTTAAGTATAAAAGATGTCGCAGTGTTTACGTTGCAGTGTGCCGTCGTCCACAGTCTGAATTTTGGATCTAAAATAGCCGTTATTACAATTACATAAATGCCACAGTGTCTAGCTTAATATGCTGCCGTCCATACATGTCAATAAAAGCTTGACACCTCTACTGGACACAGCCCCATACAAATGGTAAGTCTTTGTTGGCTGGTCTACAAACGCAAAAGATTTCAGATACGGGTAGTTTCATAAAAGTCACACGTACAAAGTACCTCCAATTATTAACAAAAGAAAGTAAAGTTAAATCCCAACTAATATTATAAATGCGAAAGTAACTCTGTCTGTCTGTCTGTCTGTTTGTCTGTCTGTTACGCTTTCCCGCTTAAACCTCGCAACCGATTTTGATGAAATTTGGCATAGAGATAGTTTGAGTCCCGGGAAAGAACATAGGATAGTTTTTATCCCGGTTTTTGAAACAGGGACGCGCGCGATAAAGTTTTTCTGTGACAGACAAAATTCCACGCGGGCGAAGCCGCGGGCGGAAAGCTAGTTGCTTTTAAACTGCATCCCAGAGATTAGGGTTGCCAACTCCTAGTTATACTGATTGACAAAGTTTTATTTCCCCATTAAAAAAATAAAAGAAGATGATTGTGCAAGATAACATAGTTAAAGTAGTCTCTTGTGTGAAGAAAAATTGAATTTTGCACTTGAAAAGACTAATGGCCAACAACAACATTCACAAAATTCTGCACAACATCCCACCAGATTTTGTACCTTTGTTTATTTATTTTGGATTTATCTATCTTTTTATTAATCTTAGACTTCATGCATGCAAGTGTCATTTCATTACATGCGCCGGGTCACAAACTGCACAGCCCTAAGAAAATTGCATGTAATATAATATATTCAAATTACTACACTTACCGTTCAATCCGTCGACATTAAGATGGTATCGTCGTTATAAATCATTGTAGGATCACTCGTGATTCTATCTGAATCGATCATGATCGAGTTCAACATAAGAGTTATATAACGGTGTGTTTGGCTAATTGGAATTATGGAAAATATTTTTCAATTTCTTCAATTTATCAGTGTATAAGTGCCTAAGTGAGTTTATGACGTTTTACGTTTAAGCCGTGAACGTGAATCGAAATATGCATTTAGTAATAAATGTATATGCCTAAGTAACTTTAAGACGTTTTACGCATAAGGTGTTAAATCAATTAAGTTGTACTTGAACCAAAATTCATTTGGTGTAAAGATACATGGAACCTAAAATGATCTTCATGACATTATTTAACCAGCGAATATTATTTTAAAACAAAAACACTTACTGTATTCTTTAAAAAAAGCTATCGTAGGGCTTTCAAAGTTATGGTTAGTCAAATCATTCGGATTTTTAGGCGTTTAAAGAATGTTATTATAATAACTACTTGGATCCTAAGGCGATCTAAGAGTTATTATAAAAAAATATATGCCAACCGAATTGAGAGCCTCTTCCTTTTGTTGAAGTCGGATAATAATAGGCCAGACTTGGTTTAATTTTAAGATAAGAAACGTTTTTATGTCCCAACTTATTCATTTTTGATCCGTTCACTTGGAAACTTAAAAAAAGACACAAAACTCAGTGTCAATGTACCTATTGACTCGCAAAATTGCCAATTTCTATTTAAATAATCCCAAAATATAAAATTTAAGCCATTTCAATATTTTTCCCAAAGATACATTATCATTAATGATCAAAAAACGACTCTATGCTGTCTACCATAAAATATGTTGTTTATGGAATATATCGAAAGTGCCTTGAAGGCTAGAAAGGATAATAAAACGTCAAAACATGCAGGAATACGGCGATAAACTCGTTTTTAAAAACCAGTCATTTCAAGTGGCAAGTAATATTATATGGGAGAAATACAATACTTGCAGGTTTGCGGTCTAAATAATATTCTTTGTGGAGAAAAGCGAACGGAGTCAGGGTCGAGTACTAAAGATACCTTTCCTGTTTATAGACAAGTTCTACCCGTGACTTTGCCTGCGTGATCCCTACTAATATTATAAATGTGAAAGTAACCCTGTCAGTCTGTGTCGATTTAACGCCTAAGCCACTGAACTGATTTTGATGACATTTGGCATAGATATACATACTTTGAGTCTTGGGAAAGGACATAGGATTTAGTTAGTTAGTTTTTAACTCGGTTTTGGAAACAGGGACGCGCGCGATAAAGTTTTTCTGTGACATACAAAATTTCAATTGTCACATGGTCATCTCTTACTTATTATGGAGATGTAAATTTTTCCTGTAGGAAAAGTATTTGCAGTTGTTACATTTGGGTCGCTTTATTGGTCTATGTAGAGTCAGTAACATAAATAGGAAACAAAATTAATTCATGTATTTTTAACTAGTTGTATCAACCCTGAGATATAAAAGTATTTAACTGAGGTTTTATATTTTTTTCTTTGTAGGTAGGGTGGGTGTAACAAACCGAATAAGCGACATTTAAAAAGTAATTTTGATATTGTGACTCAATTAATACAACAATAATTGCAAAAAAAAGAATTAACTACTCCTTGTCTATCATAGAATCAAGTAGCTTATTCCGAATTTCTTGATACTGTAAGGTTTATTTTTATTTAACAATCAATGTGGAAAGTCGCAATTTGCCTAAGGTTGACCAGATCGTACCAAGTCGTGTTTGTCGCTTTTATTAATGACTAATTATTGGTAGAAGTACGGCAGTGCTACCAAACGTAACAAAAGTGGCGGGAAATACGACAGATTGTTAATATTTTGATGTGAAATTAGAAATGGTGTACTACTGGTTCCTGGTGTGGGACTGGTGCACCCACCCTACCTATTTCCTTTAATTCTGCAAAAATTCTAATGTGACTATAAGTTTTGACTGAACTGCTTGTTTTTTAAGTAAAATACAGCTGGAGTTTTAATTACTAGTGGATACCTAATTGCTTAATAATTAATAAACTTATTTTTAAACTCTACAAAAGAACCGCCTAGACTATTGCAGTCATTAATTGCATTTGTGATTATAGATTATATAAACGGAACTATATTCAATAAGGTATTTTACCTTATTCAAAAGCCAAATTCCTGTTCATTTTGACCTCAAAATTCCTTTAATTTATAGCACACCAAAATACTTAATGGCGTCCTTCTCTTACTTAAGCGCATTTCCATTCTACTTAAATCACACATAACGAATATTGACATAACACTTAACTCAATATACTATTTAAAAACCTTGCTTTTGTTGACGTCAAAAAATGCATTAAGCTTCGCTTCAAGGCTGTATCAAGTATGTATTAAGACTTCAAGAGAGAAAAAAGATTTAAAACTTACTTAAGACTAGACTCTGCAACCTACTAAAAATAAAACTTCAAGATACCCTGTCTATACATGAAATAAAAAAACAGATCCAATATGTAATGATTACGTTCAAACTAGTAATCCTAATGATGCCATTTTTATTATTTTTCAATAGTTCTAAAGTAAATGTAAAAGATTTCAATGTTAATGTTTTATGCATTAACTTACATTGAAGTTACAGAACGATAAAACGATATTATTATTGTTCAAAGTGACATTTCACAATGATAATGTTACTAAAACAGTCAAAACAAAATTGCAAGTCAATTTAAAATTAGACAAAAGAAATGCACTTACCGAATAACCTAAAAAGTATCCAGTAAAGGTTCATAAACCTCACTCTAGCACTACACGAAATGAAACTAAACTGGGCACGCAACACTGCTATGCAAAACTTTCTAGTTTATTACCACAAGTTGTTTGTGTTGGGTCACTATACTTTGGAACTTTGACAACACAGATAGTCCTTTTTACATGTACGCTCGTAAAAAAAGTTGTGTCTATGTACGTGGTTTTTTGGAGCGAGCGCGTGCGGTCCCGGCCGCGGTCGGATTGCAACTGGTTGGTTCGCTCGCAGGAAGCGTGGTTGACCTTCGGCGAGCGAATCGAGCTAGCTCCGACCAGTATTCTTTAGGCAAAAGTGGTCGCTCAGCTTTTAGCTTTTTTCGCTCAATCAACTTCACGGCGTTTGGACAATGATGGGGCGTTTGGATATTTCTATTTGCTTCGGAAGTGGTTGTAAATAAAGTAACTTTGGCAAAAAATAGAAGACCCATTATTAACTACGCCTTACATTAAACGTGTCACAATTTCGGATTTGTTATTTGTATATAATCTATGTTATCATAAGAATATGCTACGTGAACCACAACTCTTGACACTTTTGATAAATCTTAAGAAAATTCATGAAAATGTATGCAATTTAAAATTGGTTTTGAATAAAGTTTTGAGAACTAGGTAATATTCAGATCTATGTATGTAAATGTAAAAATAACAAAAAATAAGAATCACTTGCAGGGACAAGTCATCAAACGAAACTACTTACTTGACTATTATGACTGAAAAATGTACCTATCCAAAATTATCGCAGTCTCTTATAAAACTGTTGTTACTTCACATACACAGTGTGTCGTGTTGAAAACTTATGAACTTATGAAACATGTTAAACTACTTGTTAGGAAAAGCAGGAAAAGTTTCCCAAAATGTTTATTCGGAATAAACTGGACGTCCTTTTTCGAATTTTCTTACTACGGGCACACTCAGGCGCAAAGATAGTTGACTAGCATTTCCCACGACTTCGTATTGGTGAAATTTTGTCTGTCACAGAAAAACTTTGGCACGCGCGTCCCTGTTTCAAAAACAGGGACAATAACTATCCTAAGTCCTTCCCCGGGACTCAAAGTATCTCTAAACAGATTTTATCATAATCGTTTCAGTGGTTTAGGAGTGAAAGCGTAACAGACAGACAAAGTTACTTTCGCATTAAAATGTTAACTAAGGATATAACAACCTCTAAAACTCATTTATTTATGCAAGTAGGCTTTTAAAAAGCAATTACACGTCCCAGTATTAACCCTACAACTGCTTCGGGACAATAATTGGGCCAGTGCCGAGAAGAAGCAGCGCAAGAAACTTACACTATGTTGCAGTTAGTATCTGTTTTAATAAAAATTGTAATTACATGCGCATTTTCGATGTTTGATGCAGATATTAAGGCCTAAAGTGCTAAGCCTGCTTTTAATTTATACCTGCAACATTGTTAATGATTCACATCTGTACACTTGTTTTTGAATACTCAGAAACAAAAAGTTCGAATGTTACCGATGAATCAGTGTCGAAACGTATTGGATGGGATTTAATTGGGGAGTTTATAAGTAGAGCCTTATTCTGGTGTCGATCGACTTGAGACACTCGCATCTTACGGGACTATTCCCACCTCTCGTTCCCACCACTGCAACTCCTGTGTAGCCAGGATCTACAGCTTGACCGCCACAAAAACCCAACCAATGAAGATCAAGTTTGCCCCGGGGGAAAATTAAACTGTCATTGGACCCGCAACGAAATTAATCAGAAGAATCTCTCTCGCACTTGGCTGACAATAGTGACTAACGCCCGTATTCACAAACGATGCTTGCTTAAGTGAAGCAGCAAATCGCACAGCGTTGAATAGAGCTCTGTCGGTTCGTGTGTCACCCTGTGCGTCCACGCGCACTGTGAGACCTCATACTTATGTTTGTGAATACGGGCGTGAGTTTCTTGCGCTGCTTCTTCTCAGCACTGGCCCTTGTGTTCCGAAGCAGTGGTAGGGTTATACTGGGACGTGTAAAAGTGCTTTTTAAAAGGCTACTTGTATAAATAAAATTAATTTTATGAGTTTTTTTTAGCAGCATCGCTGGATAAAAGGCTGTCCGAGGATTTCCACAACAACCGGTGTGGGGTTCCCGCATCCAGGCGCTTCCCTTGGCCTATAAAAGATCGTCGGTCTACCGAGTAGTCTTACTCTATATTTTCCGGTCCGTGGACACCACTCATGAACTTTCTGCACCAACGGCCGTCAGTTCTACAAGCTATGTGCCCCATCCACTGCGTGTGAGTCACGTTAAAGTGTACATATGAAAACAGATGAAACTAGACCTATTTTTATCGACAAAAAAGAGGTCAAAAATTTTTTGAGATTTTTTTTAAATTTTTTATACAATTTTTTTTCTTCCAATTACTTATTGTAAAAAAAACGTAATAACTTTTAAACTAAGCGGTATATCCTGATAAAATAAAAACAGTAATAATGCTAAATAACAGACGATACTGAAAAAATACATAAAATATCCAGAAAATGTCAACAAATAATAAAAAATGATACTTTTTGAAAAAAATCTGCTTAAAAATTCGTATTTTTTTGGTTATTTGATAAATTTCTCAAAAAATGCCCCTATAACAGGTGGTTTTTATTACTTTGTATTATTCTCTATCGTATTATCTTTGTAAAACCAAAAATTGCATGTCTCTATCCCTATCACAACATTTGCTATGATCGTTTGAACACAGGCCTACCACAACATTATTCTCCGCTACAGGTAGAGACAATTTTAATTATAACTAAAATGCTTATTTTACTTCGAAATCTTTTGTTTTTATTTGAAATCTAACTTGTCTTTATCAAAATTACAAATCTAGAGCCATTTTCAGTTTCGTTGTTAACGAAGCGTTGAATGGCGCGCCCGGAGAGGCTTAGTTTAAACGATCATTGCAAACGTTGTGATAGGGATAGAGACATGCGATTTTTGGTTTTACGAAGGTAATACGATAGAGAATAATACAAAGTAATAAAAACCCCCGGTTATAGGGGCATTTTTTGGAGAGATTAATCAATTAACCAAAAAAACACGAATTTTTAAGCAGATTTTTTTCAAAAAGTATATTTTTATATTATTTGTTGGCCTTTTTTGTGTATTTTATGTATTTTTTAGTATCGCCTGTTATTTAGCATTATTACTGTTTTTATTTTATCAGGATATACCGCTTAGTTTAAAAGTTATTACGTTTTCTTTACAATAAGTAATTGGAAGAAAAAAAATTCTATAAAAAATTAAAAAAAAATCTTTAAAATTTTTTGATTAAAAATAGCTCTAGTTTCGTCTATTTTCATATGTACACTTTAACGTGACTCACACTGTATAAGTTTTCAGACAATTTCACAAAAGTAGTTATTATTATGGCATCGATTGATGTCGTAAAAAAACCTGAGTTTTTTTTAGTTTTGTAGAAATTCTGAAATCTCTTATCTTACGAATATTAAAAATACGAAAGTTTGTATGGATGTCTGGATGTTAACATGTTTGTTACACTTTTACGCAAAAACTACTGGACGGATTTTGATGAAACTTGACAGTATTATTGTATATGTATAACCCAGAATAACATAAAAGCTTTAATTTATGACGATATGTTACACACCAAATTTCACACGGGTGAAGCCGCAGGCAAAAGCTATTGTCTAATAAATGACTTTGACAAACGCTCGTTCTTATTACACTAGCAATTGACCCCATCGAGATTTGAACCTGTAACTAGCAGCTTGATGGACAGTAGACGCGCGACAGACGGTCATCAATATAATAATTATTATTATGGCTCATACAATTTACTTTCCAATTTTTTATTTAATTATAACAATTTCATGCATTAATTTCGATCGATGCCATATAAGGGCCCGGAGCAAAGGGCGTTACTGGGTCCGAAGTTAACCCTTTGAAAGTCAGTGGGAATAAAATTCCCGTCATATTTTGATCCCTATTACCTCGGCTTAAGGTGTAACAACAACGAATGGAGCCTGTGAAAGGGTTAAGACACGTCGATTTATAACGCTGCCAATTTTCAATTAAATTACGACCGACAGAATATCTTACTTTGGGCGTTTGTTTTTTACTTCACATGTAGAGACAAATTACAACTATAGACTCTACATAAAATAACCGCGCCTTTGAATTCCCTTGCAAGTAGGTATGCCACAATAGTACAAACGCCACTGTGATGGTAGAGTTCGATTCTCTTGAATCAAAGATTTTGGAACCAAGAGTTCGATTCTCAGAGAAGATGAAGTATTATGGAATTCAATATTTTCTGCATCAAATTGATTTTTAAAATGGTTTAGGATTCCGGGTGAAGCTCTCTTCCACCTTCAGCCTGATCATCATATTCCATCAGGTGAGATGCAGAGCAAGAGCTTTCTCATTGTGAATAAACAATGGCCTTGCTGTCTCTCTTGCTGATGTTAGTAAAAACTGCAGTATTTCCGAAAAATACTATGTCGCAATTTTAGACCTACAGTATAATGAAAATGGCATGGGCATATGTCTTAAGGCGGGATGACAAGTGACAACCCCATATAGCGACTGGTCGTCCATGGAAAATTCTAAGGTACCCGATCGCGTGGCAGGACACCTATGCGCTGGACGGACCAAGTAAAATCGGCAGTGGAAAACCATGCACCAGGCAGTCTGCCAAAAGAGAGAGATGGCGGAAGAGTTGTATGTTTTTGTTTTTTTTTTCATCCTTGGACATTTTACACTGCGCCGCGAGTCCCAAACTAAGCAAAAGCTTATAAATACTATGGGTACTAGAAAACGGATATAAACATACTTAAATACCTTTTTTTTTAATCTGCATCTACAACCGACGTGAACGCCTCAACGTGACCACGACCGCTCTGCCAAGAGCGAAACGAATTAGAAGATAAGGAAAATGCGGAGTCTAAATTACAGAGTGCTCTGTCTGCAGACTTTATTAATTAATGTCAATATTGTTATTGCTGGCACAATTTAAAGTTTACAACTTGCTAATTTATTAGATCGAATGGTTTGTTAATTGTTTAATATCCATTTTGTATAAATATTCCGACTTTTTTGTACTCGATTTAGAAGTAATTATGACAAGCGTTACCCACTATATCCAATTGCAAATAGAGGAATTAAAATGAAATAAAATTATGTTATTTTTTGTATTGGTAATGAATGAGTCATGATAAACTACACATCTTGATGTACCTACTTGTAGTATG